CTAGGAAAAAAAAGAATAAGGTACTATAAGAAGAGTAACAGGAGGACAGAGAAGGACTCGGTGTTTTTCATATAAATCTTGAAAACGTCTAGTTTTGGAAATTTATAGATGTGTTAAAATATGCAATAAACATTTTTCACATTTTATAGTACTATCAAAACTTGACAGTCATCTGTATTTTCTCCCATTTGATATTTTTTCTTACCATTTGTTAGCCATTCAAACCAAAACTGCTTATTCTCTGTATGTGAAATTCAGGGTATATTTTGGCCTTAATAGATCATTGACCATAAACATTTGTTTATATTTCAGCTGAATGAAAAGACCTAAGTGATGTTATAATAAAAAACACATATTCACTCATCTTGTTCTCTCATCCAGTGTGACAGTTCAGTCAAATGAATGATTTAATTATTTGTGCATAAAGTAGCAAAATATGTTGGAACTACTATGATAATAGATTTTCTAGAATTTCCATAAAAATCTCTTTCAAGAGTTTTTCATTTATGATAAATTTCCATTTATAGTCAAGTTTACCTAAAGTTCCTGGGGTAGTAACGTTCATGGAAATCTGGAGTTTCAACTGTGAAAGTTCTGGGTCTCCTTTCAAAAATGAAAAATCCATATGTCATATACGCCTTTGTGTTGAAAAACTTTATTGTGACCGGAGACTAACCCAGAGCAAGAATGAGAAGACTGGAGAAGTCATAATTTGGTTGTTGATGGAAACCTTCCCTCTCTCTTAAATGTTGGGAGGGAAAAATCTTGCCTATGTTTATCTACATTCCATCATGTTAAAATATACTATGAAAGAGGCACCTGGGTGCTCAGTTGGTTAAGCGTCCGACTCTTGATTTCAGCTCAGGTCACAATCTCAGGGCTGTGAGATCGAGCCCCGCATCAGGCTCTGCACTGGGTGTGGGTCCTCTCTCTCTCCCTCTGTCCCTCCCCGAACCCCCCCATCCCTCCCTCTCTTAAAAAAAAAAAAAAAAAAACTATGAAAAAAATTGCAAATGCTAATTCGTCCTATTCATGACATTTCACCAGTTGAATTTATTCACAGTGAAAGAGCTTTTATCAAAATAAATGATCGTATTACTACTACTAGGATTTTTAGCTATATAGTATTATCTGTGTTTTATACTTCTCGGTTATAAATCTCAGCCCTAAAAATCTTAAATTTTTTTTCTTTTTGCATTTATCAGTATTCTGTCTGCAAGACATTTTGACAGGTGATTAGAATAAAAAATAAAAGTTGAATGTCTTTGCTTTTCACCAAGGGAATGAGACATGACACATTCTTCATTAATTGCTGGAAAAGGCATATCTTTGATAGCAGCATCCTAATATGTCGTTTAGCAGTTTCTAGGAATCAGCTGAATTCCATTACTCTTAACTGTGGGCAGACGCTGGGATCCCTTTTATGCTACTCACGTGGGTGAAAACTGGTGTGGAAAAGTGAGTGTTCATCTGTAGGCTGCAGGAGCCTAGTGGGCCTTCTAAGTGTGGGAATCCTCCCTGCCAAGGATCTCTGTTCATGCTTTAGTTTGACTTTCATTTAACTTTATTTTGAAGTAAAATAAATTTTATTTCATTGGTTGTGCTTGTATAAAAGTTCACAAAAAGGTGATTTTAAGTGTTTAGGAAAATTATCACTGGGATATGGAGTTGCCAGCTTTAGTGTGTGGTCTGCGCATGCACACACACACTCTTGCAGGACTCCCAATATGTCTGAAATATTGCATGGGATATACTTATCCTAAAATATTATTTATCTGAAATGCAAATTTAACTAGACATCCAGTATTTTATCTGGCGTACCTACTAGTGTAACTTACCATTTATCATCCAAACCAGGACACTTTTGAGAGTGAAGTGGGGCATTTTTAATAATTATGCCAGGACAGCAGACATAAATTGGGACTATCCCAGGAAAACTGTATTGTCAACCTAATTATAGGGGGTTTTGAAAGAATTTTTAATTATTGGTTTTAGATTTTCGTAAGCAATCACAACTTTGTCATTAACTTGTATAGTTATGAATTTTTATAAGAGTATTGCTTTATAATTTTATATTAACAATTTGATTAAGTCATCTTAAAAACTCTATGGCCTAATTGGTAGCTTCAACCTTGACTACATGATAAAGTTCTCTTTTTCGGGCGGGGTGTGTGGAGGGGAAGAGTTTGAGAAGAATTGGTATTTTTTAAGTAAATTTTACCCCCAACGTAGGGCTCAAACTCACAACCCCCAGATCAAGAGTTGCATGCTCTACTGTCTGAGCCAGCCAGTTGCCCCAGAATTGGTATATGTTAAATACCAATTTTATTTATTTATTTTTTTAAGATTTTATTTATTTATTTGACAGAGACACAGTGAGAGAGGGAACACAAGCAGGGGGGAGTGGGAGAGGGAGAAGCAGGCTTCCCGTGGAGCAGGGAGCCTGATGTGGGGCTCAATCCCGGGAGCCTGGGATCATGACCCGAGCGGAAGGCAGACGCTTAATGACTGAGCTGCCCAGGCGACCCTGTTAAATACCCATTTTAAAGAGAAAGTTCTCTTACTTTGTGAGTAAAATGAAGCACTGCTAGTACATGAAATTTACGGTTTAAAAATATTTTAGTTATTTTTTTTAATACGTGTGTACTTTACCAGCAGTTATAATTTAAGACGAGAAATTCCATGCATTTTCTGTCTTGTATTTGGCTTAATTCTTCTCTTCTAACCAATCTACTTATTGTTTTTTGGGATTTAGTAAATAACCTATTATTCACATTTAGCTTACCCTTAATTGTATAGCCTTTTATCATCTCCCCTTGCTCAACCTAACTAACCTCATTCAGCAAATCCATCCATAAATATTTGCTACATGACAACCACTCTGCTGAATGTCACAGAAAATGTGATGTGGAATGGAACTGGTCCTGTCCTCAAGCTGCTGAGAGTCTGCACTTGATGTGGTAGTCTCTCCACAGCTTTGTGTATTTCAGAGTGTCTTTCTTGGTCTTCTTCAGCCGCATGTGTCTTTTGAAGTGTGATGATTAGTATGTCAGAAATAAGCGTACCATGGTTTTGTTTTGTTTTGTTTTCGTACCATGGTTTTGAATACAAAAACCATGGTTTTGTATGTTGTGTTATCCCAACATTTGTTCTGCTAATGCACAGGATTTTATTGGAGTTTAGCTACATTACTGAGATGTGTTCAGGAAACAGTTTATAACTGCTAGATAACTTTCCTCTGTTGTAATTTATGCATCAGAATAAAGATGTATCAAAGTTCAATATATTTGAACTGCCTGGAACCTTTGAGCAGTGACTTGACTCAGATAACAGTTTCCCAGATTGTTTTACCTTTAACAAGATCAGTGTCTGGTTTCTCTAAAGGAAAAGTTTTCTTTAAAAGTATTTTCTTGCTTTTATTATTTTGAGTGTCAATAGTTGTTTTATATTATAATGTTAGTTATTTAAAAATGTAAGTACTTCCCATTGCCCTATTGTGTTATCTTGAAAAGATACAAGATTATCTCTACCGTATACTCACATGGTAAAAGTTCACATGATATAAAAGCATATATAGTGCAGTCGTCCCTGTCTCCCAGCCACCCATTTTCTTCATAACCAGTTTTTTTATCAGTATTTTGTATGTCCTTTCAAAGATTGTATGTACAGATATTATTTATGTATTCTCTTTTTTCTTCTCACAAATAGTAACATACCATACACACTTTGCTTTTTTCACATTACATTGTATCTTGGAGATTACTCCTTATCAGAACATAAAAAGCTATATCCTTTTTTTAACAGCTGCATAGTATTCCGTGTTATAGGGCCCTTACTAATCACTTTTTTATTGATTTCAGTTGTTTGCCATTATATACAGTGCTTGATGAATAACTTCATAACACACCTCATTTTGCATATGTGTAGCTCAGTTAACATGAATGTGTATATCATTCCAAGAAGAAGAATTTCTGGGTCAAAGTGCATTCATGAATACTTGCATGCCTTATTATTTTTCTTTAGCCTAAAAGTAATAATGTGTTTGTGGTAAAACTTAAAACATTTCAAACATTACCAAAAAGAATAAAATGAAAACTAAGTTTCCCAAGCTCCTAGTCCCACTTCCCAGATGTAACACTTTCTTGTCTTTCTTGTGATTATCAATTTGCCTGATTTTTTTTTCTTTTTTTAACATAAATGGCTTTATGATATTCCACTATATGTATATATCATACTTTATCCATTAAGTTCCTCATTGGTGGACATTTAAGCTCTCTCCAGATATTTTTTGATACTAGTGAAGTTACAGTGAAAAACCTTGTAGGTATATCTTTGCATGTATATCATGTGTTCTATTGAATAGGTTCCTAGAATCAAGGAATACATGCATTTAAAATTTTGCTTCATTTTACTAACTGCTCTCCAAAAAGATAGTTCCACTTGATACTTCCACCAGTATATCCTTGCTAACTGTGGCTATCATCAAACTTTTTAATATTTACCAATTTAGTAAGGGATAAAAAACAATTATATTCTTATTTGAATTTCTTGTATTATGATTGATTTTGATAAATTGGTTGTTTCTGTTAATTTTCTGTGTATTAGTATTTGTGTCCTTTATCCATTTTTGTTATGCATTCTTCACTTTGTTATTGATTTGTAAGTGTACTTTTCTACTGGGAAATTAGTCTGTGATCATGTACGTTACAAATAATTTTTTTCAGTTTTTCATTTTTTACCATGTATGTGGTCTGTTAAATATACACAGTTTGACCTTAAAGAGATGAGGGGAAAGTGGGGAGTGGTGAGAATGAATTGGTGGAGAATCCAGAGCAAACTACTAAACACTTTTTAAATAAGGAAAATAACATGACAGAAATGATATAGTGTTTTCATCTCTTCAGAGGAAAGATATAAATAAATATTGTACAATATTTAATTTGTATGAAGTGTAATAGTCATGCTACAGATATATTTGTTGTTTATATTTTTCCCTCCAGAGGTTTTATCAGCTATGATTAGTGTGCTGTTGGTGTATATACTTATGGGATTCCTCCTATATGAAGCTGTCCAAAGAACTATCCATATGAAATACGAAATAAATGGAGATATAATGCTCATCACTGCAGCAGTTGGAGTTGCTGTTAATGTAATGTAAGCTCTATTTAAAAAAAAAATTTAATAGCTTTATTTTTTAGAATAGTTACAGGTTCACAGCAAAATTGAGCGGAAGGTGCAGAGATTTCCCATATACCCGCTGCCTTCATACATGCATAGCTTCCCCCATTAAGAACATCTTCCATCAGAGTGGTACGTTTGTTACAGTTGATGAACCAGCATTAACACATTACCACACAGCATCCCTAGTTTACATCCGTATGTAATTCTCTTGGTGTTGTATATTCTATGGGTTTGGACAATTTTCTAATGGCATGTACATACCATTATGGTATCATATGCTCTATATTATTTTCACATTAATATTTTTAAGTTCTGTGAACTTAGAGACTATTATACCATGCATTCAGTAATGTGCAGTGGTATTTTTATGTATTTTTAAATTATATGGCATATTAATTTTTCTTATGTTAATAAAACACTGATGGAATTATAAATTTCTCATTTGCTCAGTTATACTGAAATTTGACAAATAATTTGGAATTTAAGTGGGACAAAGTTTTTTTTTAACTTTTATATTAACAAGATTTTTTTTAAACTATAAACTTTTTCCCTGAAAGCTATGAAATTTTTAGGTTATATACTTATTTGGACCAGTAGTCAGAAAACTTTTCTGTAAAGGTCCAGATAATAACTATTTTAGGCTTTGAGAGCCTGGCAGTTTCTGTCACAACTGCTCAACTCTGCGGTTAGACAACAAAAGCAGCCACATTTAGTATGTAAACAGATGAGTACAGCTGTGTCCCAATAAAACTTTATTTACAAAAACAGGCAGTGGGCCACCTATGGTTTACAGACCATGGTTTGCCAATCCCTGCCCTACTGGCTTCTGTTCCCATTTAAAATAAAATCAAAGTCCTTACAGTGGCCTTTTTAATAAGATCCTGTGTGCCTCTCTAACTCATACCTTAGCATTCTTGCTCAATCTATTTATTTATTTATTTAAAGATTTTATTTATTTATTTATTTGTCAGAGAGAGAGAGTGAACACAAGCAGGGGGAATAGCAGGCAGAGGGAGAGGAGAAGCAGGCTCCCTGATGAGCAAGGAGCCCTACGTGGGACTCCATCCCAGGACCCTGGGATCATGACCTGAGCCGAAGGCAGACGCTTAACTGAGCCACCCAGGCGTCCCTTCTTGCTCACTTTAGTCTCGCCACAACAACTGTCCTGCTTTTTTGAAACACATAGAGCACATTTTCTTCTAAGGGCCTTTGCCCTGGTATTCCTGCTACTTAGCACACCCTTTCACCACCACATGCTGCTTCCTGACTTGATCCAGGTTTCTGCCCAGAAGGACTCTCAGGCCTTCTCTGACAGACTGCACTGCCCCAGCACTCTCCATCCCCTCGCGGTGTTTTACTTCTCTTCAAACCATTTGCATTGCCTGGCAGTATATTATGTATTTCTTTGTTTACTTCTCTGCCTTCTGTACTAGAACATAAGCTCCATGGGGATAGGGATATGTCTGTCTTATTCACTGTTTTGACCCCAATACCTAGAACAGTACCTGATATATAATAGGTGCTCATATATATATTAAATGAATGAGTTCCATGTTGCCTCATTAATGTCTGATTTGTAACAAATATTTTTATCAACAATACTAGGAAGAATAATAATGTTTTCTTTTATTTTGACAGAATGGGGTTTCTGTTGAACCAGTCTGGTCACCACTCCCATTCCCACTCCCTGCCTTCAAATTCTCCTACCACAGGTTCTGGCTGTCGGCACAACCATGGGCAGGACAGCCTGGCAGTGAGAGCTGCATTTGTACATGCCTTGGGGGACTTGGTGCAGAGTGTTGGTGTACTAATAGCTGCATACATCATAAGATTCAAGGTAATAGGATTGCTGGTTTTTCTATTTTAAAATATATTTAATTTCAATATTAAAAATATTAAGGTTATTGTCTTTTATCAATATACTGGATATCAAAGCCAGCCTTACTCATTTTGCATTTAGGTAGGCTTCATTGAGCCATCAGTATAGCTCTTTTGCTAGCAGTAAACATGATAGTGTCATTTCACAGAGTTAACTTGTCTGTAGCTGGCTTCTAGACTGCCTTCACTAGGGAACTCAATTTTAAGCCATGTCACTGAACTGCTAGGTACCAGAATGTACACTGGACTAGAAATCCAGAGATTTGGGTTCTAGTCTTGGCTCTGCCATTAATGCTTTGATTCTGAGCAAGTCCCTCCTCTTTTATATGAGAGGCTTAGACCAAATATGTGGCTGCTAAAAGTCCTTCCAGCTCTCATATTCTATGGTTCTGGGTGGAAGATTTAGGGAAGGCACAGAGGAAAACAATAGAACAAATGATCAAACTTCTGGAATTAGGTCTTACAAGGAAAGGCAAAAAAAAAAAAAAAAATTTTTTTTTTTTTAACAATCTAGGAAAGACTGAAGATGTTTCTCAATTGCAGTATCCAAAAATAAAGGTATTCTTCAGTCCTGGTATAGAAGGCTAAAGAACAGGGGCAGAGTATGGCTTGCTTTGCTTTACAGTCTGTTTTATGTTGGTCTGTATTTAATCACACAGTTTTGTTCTGTCACCTTTCAGCCAGAATACAAGATTGCTGATCCCATCTGTACATATGTATTTTCATTACTTGTGGCTTTTACAACATTTCGCATCATATGGGACACAATAGTTATAATACTAGAAGGTAAGATCTCACTATAATATCCCCATTGTGGGTTTATTACCTCCCTTAATCAGATTGACGGTGGGGGGCACTCTAGAGTAAGAGTCATGTCTTTCCTTTCTCTTTACTGATGCTCATTAGGCTATAGTTACACGACTTTATGTGTATGTAGCATATAAGAATTGATGTACTCTTCCCTCTGTTACCCATTTGATCCTTATAATAGCTAAGAAAAGTAGGTAAGGTGGACATTATCCCCATTTACCAACGAGGAAATTGAGCTTCAGAGGGGTAACATAACTTGCTTACTTAAGGTAATGCTGCTAATAAACTGCAGAGCTGGGACAAAAATACAACTCTTTTGATTCTTGATATAATTATGTTTAGTGGCTTATTAATTCCTTAATTCCCATTTAACTTGATACTTTGTTATATTTTCAACATGCCTACTTACTGATATTATGTCTAAGTATGTAAGTTCTCAACAGCAGGTTCATCATCATTGGATGGTCCCCCTTTTTTTTTTTCCTTTTTTTGTGTATCCTAGCTTATTTGTTAAATGAAGTATTCAGGTTTGATATTTCTTTTAGCAAGAGTGAACATTTTAAAAATTATTAACCTCTTATACATATCTTGCTTTATGTGTGCATGGTTTATCTTAAAGTATTAAGATATTTTAAAGTGTCCATTTAAACTGAATTTGATAAAGCCATTTGGTTTCTTTGGGGAAAAAAAAAAAAAAGCTCTATCAGTTATGTATAACTTTCTTCCCCAAAATAAGCTTTACTTATAAATGATATATTCTGAACTAATAGGTGTACCAAGCCATTTGAATGTAGACTATATCAAAGAAGCCTTGATGAAAATAGAAGATGTATATTCCGTGGAAGATTTAAATATCTGGTCTCTTACTTCAGGAAAACCTACTGCCATCGTACACATACAGCTAAGTATGTTGCTGATAGCAAATGCTGGGGTTGATGGACTTTCTCTTTAGAATTAAACATCTGTGCTTATAATTAAGCAGGAAGACTTTTCTGCTGGAAAGATTTGCTTTAAGGGAGGGGTCAGGCTTTTCAAAAGGTGTGTTGCAGATCAGTAACAGCAGAGCAATAATTTTCGATCTCTGAGATCTTTCTGAGAGAGAGAGCAAGCGAGCACAACAGGGAGGGACAGACGGAGAAGCAGACTCCCCCCTGAGCAGGGAGCTCAACACAGGACTCAATCCCAGGACCCCGGGATCATGACCTGAGCCGAAGGCAGATGCTTAACCTACTGAGCCACCCAGGCGCCCCTAAGATGAGACATTACAAATTGATTTTTGCCTTCAGATTAAGGCATGAAGTATATTTACCATGCTTTTCCTATGTAAGAAAAGCTAGACCTGTTTTTATTTCCTAAAGTCATTTCACAGATTGATGCTTTTTATTTATCAAAATAATATGTATATGGATTTATTAAAAAAAAAACAGGCAAAAGATTTGTAATTGATGTCTAGTATTCTTTCTCTACCTGCGAGTGGACTGGAGGGATTGGAATAATGAGAAGCCATCCTGGCTTTGGAAACTGGCGTACTTCTCTAACAGAGTAGCTTCAAGGGGGAGAAATCAAACGAATAAGAATAGGTTCACTGTATATTGTTATTCCCCTGTGTCATTGTAACTGTGTACAATGAATAGTAATAGTATTTTCTTGACATTGCAGTTCCTGGAAGTTCATCTAAATGGGAGGAAGTACAGTCCAAAGCAAAGCATGTATTATTGAACACATTTGGCATGTATAAATGCACTGTTCAGCTTCAGAGTTACAGGCAAGAAGTGGACAGAACTTGTGCACATTGTCAGAGTTCCAGTCCTTAACTTGATACGTTTTGGGGACTACTGCCTTATTCATCCTGCAGTCACAGAGCTGAGGGCAGTAAATGCACACATCTGCCTGAGGAAATGGACTCCCTACCAGCTGTGTTCACATCAAGCAGGGTCCCTCAGAACAGTCACTCCAGCCGGACAGCGCTAGTTTCTGTTTAATGGTAAGATGAGACTTCACCCTGATTGTCAGATGAAGGTGTTTCCAAAACACTATTCACAGAGTAAGATGTGACTCCACGGATACCTCAAAGAAGACAATCCAAGACCACACTGCATTAATTATGACAAAGTACATGTCTTAAAGGAAGCATCAAGAATTCAGTATTTGCATTTAAAAATCCTTTTTAAAGACCATTTTTTATCAAGCCAGTGCTGGAAAACTGAATTTTTTTTATTATGTAATCTTGACATCCGGCTTCTGAAATTTGACACCCAGCTCTCTTTTTACAGAAATTATTTCTCAGCAGATTTCAGAGAGTACTAGACATTATCCAGAGAGTGGAATAAGCATGTATTCCCACATTTCAGAAATGTTTTATTTCACAAATGTTTTATTTCACAAATAACTTAGTTATTATTATAGTTATACTTTATAAACAGTTTTTTCCAGATGTTATGGGGTTTTGCATCTCAGAGTTAACATTTTGGGTTATTTGTAATCTTAATCAGAACCAAATCTTTACATATTGTGATCACTGTCATTAGGATTATTTAGGAAGTATTTTCAATACTATTCTGAATGGCAGAAGTTCATCTTAAACTCAAGTTACAATATGATAATGTAAAACAAAATATAGGGAGTAAGGATGGAGTGTGGAATGTCAGATTTAAGTCTTCCTGAAATCATTTTTATTGTTCATGGAATTATCTTTACTTAAGAATAGGAGGAGACTGCAAAATGTAAACAGTGGTCCTCTGTCCTTTCAAGAACTAGAAGTTTGCTTGGTACCTTGCTTCCGGCCTCCTTACCAGTTAGTCAGTTTGGGGCCTTTCCGGGTAAAACTCTGGAGGACTAAGGGTCAGTTTATAATGCCCATCTTTCACATGTGGATTAACCACATTCCTCCAGAGAGATTTTCTGTTTGATGATATGGGTTAGGGATTCTCCAGGGACTCCAGAAACCCTAAGATATAATTTTGAGGTTTTCCAATAATACCACAGCAGAAATGCCCAAAGAGATAGGGAGAAGACATTACTCTGGAAAAAAAGAAAGAAAGAAAGAAAAGTCGAGGGTTTTTGACCTAGTGTTTGTGTTTTTCAAAGCACAGGAATAGGGATGGACATTCAGTCTGTGGTGTGGGGAGGCTAACCATGAAACTTTCCAAACTGAATGCAACCTAATTGGTAACAGTTGTGTTAAAGAGGCAGCTGTGACTATTCATGTTCCATTTTGCAACTGTTGGTTTTGAGATTATCTTTATGCACTTCAGGAGTCCATTTTCACAGGGACAGTTTCTTAACCAAGAATGGCTATGGTTCTTTGGGTTCGCAGAGACTCAAGAGTAGAGTACAGTGTACTGGACAGACAGGTTATGAATTGAAAGCCTACATAAACATGCAGATGACTTATAAATATCAAAGAAGGTTAGGAAACAGATTTCCTCTTTCTACCAAGTACCTCACTGTAAGTAAACTGAAGATAAAATCTGACTTTACCTGAAAGATGATTATGAGTTGATGGTATCCCCCAAAAAAGGGTTGATGAGGGTTAATGGTATTGAATAAAATCCAGTAAGTATTTACTGAATTGAATTGAAAATTAACTTTAGGGGATTCTTACTGTGGATCCATTTAAAATAATGATTTGAATTTTTCAAAAATTTGGGTGGTATATAAACTGTTTAAACCAAAATTCTCATAAATATGGAAGGCAAATAAGAATAAATGAGAAGCATTTCAGTGGACATCTGGGCATTTATGGACTTTGGGGTGCCTAGCAAGAGAAAGGAAAAGAATATCCATTATATGCTAATGGATTTTCCCATATTTGTAGTTGTTTCCCATGTCCACGGAGCTTGTTTCATGTAAACTTCCCTTTATCTTAAATAGGTATATCTTACTTTTCATATCAACCTATTTCTTGAAAAGTTACTTGATAAAACAGTCTAAAATCCATTCGAGGATTGAAAAGGAGCCTTTTGTAAAATGCAGAAACACTGAAAACTTCTGTGAATCTTAATGACTGTGTTCTATTTAAAGTGAGGTACACATGAAGTTTCCTGTCTTTGTCTTTTGTAGCAAGGATTACAGATTTTGTACTTTACTGGGTCTGTGAGACTGAGAATTGATAGATTTCCCTTTTTGTAACTTGACAAAACCCACAAAGGAGTGTGTGAATTTAGCAGATACGACCAGGGGACCAGAGAGTGGTCTGCCTCTGATAAGGAGCCTTGGGTCTGTCCCTCACCTGCCGAGCTGCAACCCCAAGTTACACCCCTCAGCCAGCCCTCACAGGAAGAGTTCACCATCCTGTGACAAGCGGTAGCGAATTGTGGATAAACACCTAGCATGGTTAATTTTGCACTGGGAGAACAGATCACAGCATAAAAACTAGGCAGTTTCTTCAGTGTGATGTATTTTAATTAACATTTGCAAATAATCAGAGTTACTTGTGTACATAAAACCCGTGTTTCACAACTCTGGCCAGAGGGCAGGGTTTTGATTTTAGGGAAAGACCTATTTTTCATTAACGATCATGCTGCCTTAGAAATCTAATGTGAGGAATACAGTTGAATAAGGCATCTCTCAGAGGGCTTTGAAATGAAGAACCACAAGCAAATGGAATTCCCACATACACTTTATATTAGAGCTGTGCCTTGTGTAACGTGAGCCCAGGTTTTCGCAGCTTGCAGCTCCCATCAGTATTGTTTGCCAAATCACAGGATCTCTTATTTTACTGTTTTCTTTTCAGATTTTGGTACTTTATTTGCATTTTCTAAAATTCAGTTTCCTGCTCTTGAAAGTCTCAGTGTTCTGGTTCTGTCTCTTGAACTCAAGTGTCTTCACTGACAGTATTTGTCTTTAGTAGAATTTTCCCAGAATAGACACAGGCGAGATTAGATACATGAGCTTTCCGTTCATTTTAATGTGAGGAAAACCATCTTTCAGAAACAAAGCACCACTTATAAATGTATTTCTACGTGAGGAAGAACGTTTTTTTTTTTAACAGCTGCTTGTCCTGATCCAAATTTCTCTGCACACTGAACTTTACAGAATAAGTATGATAGCAATAGACTACACTGTACAACCATGAGTGAAGATCATTTCTAGTAAGACTCTGGGTTTTGTTTCTCAAACAACTACTCATTACTTTAGAAAAGATAGTCATTCACTTCTGAAACAAGCACAATTAGCTAAATTTCTTTTCTTTTTTCTTTTTTATTTTTAGTAGGCTCCACGCTGAGCTTAAACCCACGACCCTGAGATCAAGACCTGAAGTGAGATCAAGTCGGTTGCTTAACCGACTGAGCCCCCCAGGCCCCCCTACATTTTCCTTTTATGAATTTATATAAATTGGTTCACCATGATGAATAGTGTGTTCTTACAGAATTTGAACCCCTTTGGAATAAGGTTTTAGGCAATTTTGCTGTTGACTCTAGCTTACATATAGTAAATTTAAAGTTATAGAATGTGTTAATAGATATAAGATTAGTTCATTTGGCTCAGTTTGTCTTGGAACCAAGCTTCGCTCATGAGCCAGCTGGGTATTAGTCACAAATGAGTAGTGACACCTTGCTATATATGCTGTGTTGAGGGGGGACAAGTCGGACTTGCAAAGGATTGAAGTTTTATTTCTAACTACAGATCTGTCATGTGCATCTTGCCAGACAGGACATCCGACTTACAGCTCACCAATCAGGGATGTTTCTTGTGATGTTGGTAGGAACCTGCAAATTAGAAGAAATTGTCGTGGGGGAGTTCCTCAGTATGGACTTGTGTATGTGCATGCAGGTCATCCTGTCATTGATTTCTCGCTTACAGAGGGTTCACGCTGTTCTTCTAATCATATTGTGAGGACCAACGAACATTTTCTGATTTTTGGTAAGACTGAAAAACATTTATGGAGACTTTCCCAATTAAATCTATGACAGTGTCAAAATAATGTAATTAAGTATATCCTGAAGTAACTGCAACGCAAAATTGAAATGGCCAGTAGTATGTCAGCTTTGCTCCTGGAAGATACTGTGTATTTGGAAAGCTTTTGCTTCTCTAAAAAAAAAATGTTATTAAGTAAGCCATATCCCCTTTAAGAAATTGTATATACTTTTCCATTTGCCCTTTCAGAAACCAGGTATTTTGCATATGATTGATTTGAGGAAGATTTTGAAGCTGGGGTTTGCCCATGTAATTTAAGATCAAAGTATAGTATATGTATATGTACCATGTTTGCAATTTTCAAATTGTAATTTCCTATACATTTATTAAAGTATTGTTTTGCTGTGTGGTTTATTAAAAAATGAAAATATACAACCCCCCTTAAATCTCTGGGTTTTTTTTTTATTGATTAAATAATAGCAGTAGGCCTTAAAACATGATAATCTTAAAAAGCATGAGAAAGTGGATTATAACCTAATTAGTTTTATCAAATCAGATGGTAATGCCCTCTTAGATGTTTAAGAAATAAACCTGAAAAAAACCTTCCAGATAAGGAAAAAAAAGATACTAAAAGAATCTGTAACTTTTTCGATCTGTCACTTTTAATATCCCTGCAGCCCCAGCAACAGTGGCAGAAAGGGAAGAGCGAGGCTCCCGCTCAAGTAAGATTGGTGAGGGCCTTCGTGAAGTCTGGGCATGATGACCTGCTGACCCTCCGGGAGTGTAGATGAGGGGTTGGTCAGCACACACTGCTTCACCGGCCAAGTCTGGCCTACAGCCTGATTTGTGTGGCCCAAGGAGCTCAAAATGGTGTTTATATTTTTTTAATGGTTAAAAAAAATAAGAAGAGTAAGAATATGCTATGAAAATTAAGTTGAACTTTACATTTCAGTGTACAGTGTTCGTCAAGCACAGCCATACTCCTTAGACCGTGGATCGTCTGGCTGCTTTCATGCCGCAGTCGCAGAGAGTAGAGGAGTTAGGACACATACAAAGAGATTGGCTCTCCGATCATTTATAGGAAGAGTTTGCCTGCCCCTGGTGTACACTGTTGTACCCTTTCAGGCTATAACAGCATATATGGGTGCAGCAAACTTGTCCAGATCCTGTTGGAAGTTTGAGATGGGCCAATCTGAAGGTTACCTGAGCCACCAAAGGTTCTCTCCCTCCCTTTGTCTTTTTTATTTTCTATATCCTCCTCGGAGTTTGGGGCAGAAAGAGGAAGAGAGTGGCAAGATTTCAAATGTGCCATATGACCTAATGTACACTAGCAAAGCAGTTTTCTACCCCGAACACCAGGATCATTTAACAACACTTTTCAAGGGGTGCCTGGGTGGCTCAGTCGGTTGAGTCCAACTCTTGGTATCAGCTCAGGTCATGAGCTCAGCATTGTGAGATCGAGCCCTGCATCGGGCTCCATGCTCAGCAGGAAGTCTGCTTGGGATTCTCTCCTTTCCATCTGCCCCCACCCTGCATATGTGCACGCTCTCTCTCTCTAAAAAAATGAATCAAAATACTTTTTTTTTTTTAAAGATTTTTTATTTATTTATTTGAGAGAGAGAGCATGAGAGGGGGGAGGGTCAGAGGGAGAAGCAGGCTCCCCGCTGAGCAGGGAGCCCGATGCGGGACTCGATCCCGGGACTCGATCCCGGGACTCCAGGATCATGACCTGAGCCAAAGGCAGTCGCTTAACCAACT